CAAAAAAAACTTAGAATATCTATTCAAATTTTCTCATTTTCAATTTTATTTTCTTTAAAAGAAAATAAAATAAACTTTTTTCCATTTTTTCCGACTTATATGTGCACATATATATGTTATGCATATATTTTTTAATGTAACAATATACACACTTAAACCTACTTAAACCAAATAAACATAAAAAGAAATAAACTTAAAATTTCCATTTAACTTTGTTCACATAAGCATAACATATGTATTGCCTATTGTACGTATAATTATACATGTGTTTACAAATATACATGTTATGTGTACACATAGTTGTATCAACAAAGCATAATAATAATATGTACGATCTGATATGTAAATTTTTACCGTGTAGAACTCCCCTGTAAATTATTGGCCCCTATTTTAAGAAACAGATGCAGGGTACTCCAACAAAATGTGTTAATAAAGTAGCTAAAGGACACTTTAAAAATCAAAAATTTAAATAATGGAATAATGGATAGAGAAGTCTTCTTATTAGTATATAAAGTTGGGTCAAACTAATGGTTTGTATTGTAGCACTTTCCCTTCAACGAGGGGAAATACTGCTTTTAAAAACAGTCTGTGTACCTACCACATTATTAAAATTATTTTCTAGGATTGCATATATTTAGGATGAACGATTTATGCAGTCTTTGAAATAAAGCAAAAACTAATTTAAATCGAGCATAATAACATAATGTTCGATTTTAAGGATTAATTGTGAGAGTTGAGAAAAATAATTATAGTTTTTAATGGCATAGTTTCAATTATTAGTGTTTAAAAGTTATTAAAATTTCAGATTTTTATAACCTGGGATTTAGGAGAAACGACATCAAAAATTTGGAACAAACGGATTTTAGGTAACGGTAAATTTTAACGGCTATTTTGTTTTTTAAAGTTCAAATGTAGTATGCCGCGATAGAAGAAGCAAACTTTTTTGTCGCGATAGAAGAAGCAAACCATGGCTTTTCTGTGTTTGCAAAATTTTAAAAATTCATATCGTTCTACTACAATATCTAGTTGAAACATGGTATTTTTAGGGTTTTTGGGAGGGTATAACTCTAAAATTTTGAAATTTATTTCACATCCTCTTCACACTTTCAGGTAGAAAAAACAATGCAAATCATGCAATTTAAATATTGAATTCTTGTTTGTCCTAGAATAGAAAATACTTAAAAAAAAGGAAAACTTCGTAACTTCTCGAATAAAAAAAGCGACTTAACTGAATGACATCAAGAGACGTAGATGAAAAATAGTTTGGATCTGACATCCAAAATGAATGCTTCTTTCTCTAAAAAGAATTGTTAAATTCTTGCGTCTGGTTCAGTTATCCATTATTATGTCTTGTATATGAAGTGCACCATTCGGGAGCACCTTGCATAATATAACAAAATTTTTATTTATTTTTTGGTTTTTTATTTATATACCAGTTATTAGGTAATACACTCCCATATCAGTTATTATTAAATATATACTCACATATAATACATGTAAGATCGAAGACTACTATGTACCAAACATGTACACACATCCAAATATTCATGATACACATACGTCATTATCTTTTCACGAATATTGAATATCAATCTCATGAGATATATCAAATTAAATTTCGAATTTAAATCCCAAAAGAATTGGAAAATTTTCAAGGAAATGAAGAAGAAAAAAGAAAGAATAAGAAAATATATTTATATACATAAAAACATACATCTGTATGAACCTCCTAGGTTTTTTACATAATAACGTAGAAACGATGAAGAAGTTTTTAACTCGATTTTAAAATATTGGCGATACAATGTAGCATATTTCCTAAGAGAGACAACTTTGTCCCTGTAAGCAAATGGGAAAATTGCTAATCATATTTAAATTTAAAAAAGAGAAAAATTATTATCAATTTACAACTTTGACCATTCTATAAAAGATATAGAATTGGATTAAGTATTTTAGCTGCTGTGTCAGTGCTTCCCTAAAAATATTTCGCAAAAGTAATGAAATCAATTTATTTAAAGAAAACGAGAAAAACTTTCTTGTATTTTGAAATTAAATTTGGAAGCAGCAGAATTGAAAAAGAAATTTCCAAAACAATAAAAAAATGTTTATACGACACGAAGACAATTAATTGCATCATTTGAAAAGAAAGGACTTTTTGAAAGCAAAATGCATCGCTGCATTTCTTTAATACATGCTTAAAAAAACTCAATAAATTTAAAATCTCTTCCATCCCGCAAAATACAAAGAAACTTTAAGATATTCAATTTTTCTTGCCAGACGTGCGAAATTATAAAAGTTAAGAAAAATATCAAAAAATATTCAAATTGATTATTTTTCAAATAATAAATAAAACAAAGCATAAAAGAACATTCAAGCTAAATAATTTTACATAATTGGACGTGATATTTGAGATTCATAGATCTGTTTATTGGTAACACGAAAAATCGCTAAATAAGTGTTTAAGTAATTTAAAATGGCATTAATACACGTTTTTTCACTATATTGAAGTACGCAATTTTTTTTCAAAGAAAAGAAAGTTCACTTAAAAAATAAAGGCTCATCAAGTATTTTTTATTAATATTAAATTGCATTATCTTTCTATTGAGTCATTTGGAAATTTCCTGATTTTCTGTATGCGTACATATACATGCAAGAAAACTTTTAAATAGGTTTTTTTTTTCATATTTCACGATAAATAGTATTGCTTTTTACTCAAAAGATCATACGCGTTATAAATAAAGTTGGGTCAAACCAATGGTTTGTATTGTAGCACTTTTCCCTTCAACAAGTGAAAATTCTGCTTTTAAATACAGTCTACGAGTATGGATACCTATCACACTATTAAAATTATTTTCATTCATATACAAAACTATTTCTAGGATTGCATATATTTAGGATGATGCATTCATGCAGTCTCTGAAATAAAGCAAAAATTAATATAAAGAGGGGTTTACATAATGCTCGATTTTAAGGGTTATTTGTATGAGTTAAGAAAAATAATTATATTTTTTAATGTCATGGAATTTACCGTTAGTTTTTAACGTTTATAGAAATTTGAAAAAGCTTGCGGTTTCGGAAATATAAGGTGTGAAAAATTCAAATTTTACAAATTTCAAGAGGCGATAACTTGAGAGGGGGGGAGACGGAAAAAATTTTCTTCTAACCAAATGAACTATTGGTTAATGTCTAAAAGCCTCTAAAATTTCAAGCTTCTTAATAATCTTAAGTCGACATAAGATGCCTTTATGACTTTCGCAAAGCCGTGAAATGTTACTTACTTGGGCCAACACAAGATAAAATGCACTTGTACAAACTTTTAAAATACACCACTAATTCAAAAGGAAAATAATCTTAAGTCTACTTAAATGATTTGCTTTTAGACATCCGGTTCTCTAAATTCGACATAAGATATTTTTAGAATTTCATCGAATTTATTAATTTATTATTTAATGGTTAATTTGACCAATTACGATTGCATTGATTCACAATATTTTAGCTGATAATATTTATATGAGAGCCTAATCGTCTATCTCGCTATTTTACTCAGCAAGTAAGAAAAAGTGAGAAACTATTATACGAGTATATTTGTATAATGTATTTTTGGAGTGAGAAGAATTATTTGTTATTCCTTATTTTGTTCTTTTTTTCTAAAATGTGTACAAAATTTATTCAAAAATTAAATTTTGTTTTTAAAAGTGAGACGTTCAGTCGATAATTTGGGAAAAAAACAAAAGTCCAATTGAAAAAATATGCAATCTTATTGAAAAAATTAAATATCGATTAGAAAAACTGAGAATTCTGATTTGAAAGTGAGTAAATACTTTTATAAGTAAAAAAGGGGGATACACGATTAGGCTGCAAATTTATTAGACCTTCTTTTCTTGCAATTAACTCAATTGTACAAGGAAACCATTCTCACAAATTACTCAAACATAAAAATAGAATTAGTTTATTATACATACTGATGCAATGTGCCAAAAAATGGTTGAGAACTGAAAATTGTTAAGATTGTTAAAATAAAATTTTGGACAGTTTTAATCTGCTTAAATTTCTTCGAAGAATTTTTCCAAATTTTTAATTTTTTGTTATGCCTAATTTTTAATTAAAAATTTCCGTGTCATTTCCTGTTTAAGGGTGAGGTAATTTCGAGGAAAAATAGAGTTGACCGTGAGAAATCTGTGATATCCGTACGTAATTTGTTATCCTATGAGCGAATAAATATACATAGCTGATTATGGGATATACTATGACTTTAACTTGTCGTATTACCATATTAATTTATGCAAAATTTCAGTACTGTGTTTTTAATATTTTCTAAAATATGGTTAAATTATTATAGAAGTTGTATGGCTACTACTAGAAAGAGCCAAGCAATTTCAACGACTTTAATCAAACACATTGGCTCTACTAATGTATTTACTTGTGTGAAATTTCAATATCATTGCTTTTACAGTTACTGAGTTATAGCCAAATAGCATTTGAAGTTGTATGAACATAACAACAAACTCTTAATGAGAAAAACACACTTAATTTTGCAAATATAGAACTAAATTACAAATTATATTCGACATTTTTTAAATAAAACTTTTGATACTTTCACCTGAATATATAATTGAGAAAGTTATAAAACTCCAAAAAGAAGATTTACAACACTTATTGAAAAAATATTTATTCATCTTTATTTAATTTGAAAATTAAAATAAATTTAAATTTACGTAGAATTTTTCCTTTCAACTTCTGCCTTTTACTCTGTAAACATATGAAGTAGTCCATGTAAATATTCAATATTGATTTTATTTCCATTACACACATAGAAAATACATATAACTAATAAAGGTATACATATATATATATATATTTATACACTTATGTACTTCACAAAATATACAAATACAAAGCTATTTTTTTTCAATTTAAAATGGAAAATTTTATTCATGTTTCATTGTTTAAAAAAAAATAATGCATATTTTTATTTTTCAAATTTATTTCCTATTTATTTTCAGGTGTTCAAATCGCTTATATTGCAATTATTGGCACACAAATGTCAATGATTATTCTTAGCATTATGTTGATGTTCGGTATTTATAAGGTAAGTAACAATATATGAAAAAAATTTCATATTTAATCAAAATTTTTTTATTTTTTATTCTAAAGTAAAAAGTATTTTATAATAAATCGAGAAATAAATAGTTTACAATTAAATCTATAGGTCCGTCATTGAAGCACAGATTGGATTTATATTTGTTTGATCATAGGGGTATTAATTATTTTATTAATATTATATGTAATATTCAATCGTTATACACAAATTATGTATGTTGAAAGAAAGCCGAAAAAAATTTTCTTCATATTTTTTCAAAACATAGCTGGCTATATTTTTGCTTTAAACGCGTTCGCTACACGAGTCTCTTTCAATTGCTGACGTTTTTCGCGCATAAGTCTAACTGGTTTAGCTGTACAAAAATTATGTTAATTTATTCAAAATAAAGCGTAAAAGGTTTTATTCCTTATTTTGTAGAATTTTATATTCAATTTTTACAACTATTATACAAAATATGTGTTATTAATTCTGTAATTTCTTTTCAGTTTTTTATATTTGAGTATAACATTTTGTGTAATTTTTGTACACTTTTTTACTTTTTTGAATAATTTTGTGTATTCCATATTCAATCAGGCTTTTCAGATCTTCTAAAATTTTGAATAGCTGCTTTATTAAGCTGAAGGAAAAGATACGCCTATTTACAAGTACAAGCGTATATTTACTCTAGCGCATGTTTGCAAGTACCAGTATAGCTTAGTCAAAATTATAGCCTAGTAAAGTTCAATGAAGTCATCAAAAATAAAAATTTTACTTTCATATAAAACTGATGCCTGCCTTCTTGAAAAAAAATTCCCTTTTCTTCGGAATATCATACTTTTATTTTTTCTAATATATTTTGTGCGTATGTAATACTTTATCAAAACTGATTTCCTCTAATTAAGGCAAAAAAAATTGAAATTCAATTCAATTTAAATTGAAAATATTACACCTCACTTAACTCAACACTATACTCGTTTTTGTTGTCCCAATTAGAACAAAATCAGCTTTGACAAAGCGCGTATGTAACGCAAGAAATATGTTATGTTCTTAATAAAGTATTAATTACGTACAAAATACTCGTAGTATATTAAATTTTTAGTAAAATTGGCCTCCGATATTTTCAAACAGTATTTGGTTAAACTGCAAGGTTTAAATATTATGCCATCGGTAAATATTATGCCATCAATTCGGATTTAAAGTCGATTTCGACCATTTTGTTGATTTTTTTTCTATTTTTTGTTGTTTCTTCCCCCAAAAGTACGCAATATTTTTGTTCATCATACAGTTTTGCTATAAAATAATTTAATGAAACAATAGGTTTAGGTTGACACATCTGGTTGATACACCTGGGCCGGTTTACATCCGTGGCATTTGCATTCGCAGGTCCGTAACTCGTAAAAAAAAATGCGACCATTCTCCTGGGTAGTCCGCCAATTATACAGTGTCTATTTATAACCCCTATGACAATTCCGTTATCACGCCGGGGGAGAGACCCAACATCCGCCGTACGACGCAGATCTAACTTAAGCCAAAATTGTTTAGTAGTCCGGCATGTCGTTCCATTTTTCCATTAGCTGTTGACTTGTTGCACTGTTGCTACACTGTTTGCATGAGCTGTTGCACCGTTGCTGCTCAATAGCCTCATTGAGCATGTACACGTGCAGTGTACCCGTGCTCAGAGGCATCCCCGAGTTCTCCTTCTCAGATAGGACCCCAAGAGTCCTTTCCGGAATCCAAGTCAATTTAATTTCGAGCTATTTTTAAATCTCGTTCAGAAATTCGAACCGTTTTATAAGTGGACGTCTTCGACTCTACCCTCTCATCGCTGATACATGAACATGATATCACATTAAAAATGCTGATACAAAACACACATGATATCGCATTGCCCGGCAGCCATTCTAACACGTTGTTAATTGCAACAAGCTTTGCCTGAAAAACGCTGCAGTGATCCGGAAGGCGAAAAGAGATCTCCACATAAACTTCTTCGCAGTATATTCCCCTTTCCGCCAAATTGTAGGTGCAAGCGATCAATTTGTAGCCCTTCTCTTCTAGGCGTAGCAAAAGTTAGTTCACTACAAGATTCTAAAGACGGAGAGAGAGCACAATTCTTTAAGGAGAGAATGCAAGGCCGTGCACTTGTCCTTGCAGTACGTGTGTTGTTCTGGGAACCATATGCTTGAATCTAAATTGTTTCGTATGAATGTGTCCAAGAGCTTCCTCAGGATTTTTAGTCAAAATGATGTTAGACTAATAGATCTAAGGTCTTTTGGGCAGCTATGAGAACTGCTAAATTTTCGGAATATAAGTTACGTCTACACAGCGGTCTTAGACTTGAAGAGCTAAAAGCTGCGAATGGCCGTGATGAATTTTTTACCTAGACCAAGGCTCTCGAGTAAAATTCTTGGGCAGCTGGGAAATGAGTGGTCAGTGACTCTCTGGCAAAGCCGGTTGAGTAAATAGGTAACTTGGCACGATTGTGTCGCTTGCCAATCTCCCCATAGAATGCCTTTCAGAAGAACTTTTGCGCTCTCCTCGGCTTTCAGAGCCTGCAATCTAAGGCTCCCGAATGTGTAACCAATCCTATACGTCCCCTTGCAGACGGAGAAGAAATGTAGCCGACTCTCTATGGAGAATTGGAAAATTCGCAACATGACCGCTTGCACCAACCTTCTCCACAAGGTGCATGGTGTTGTTGCCTGTTTTTTGCATTTTATCCAGGAATTTTGTTCCAAATAAACACGGAAAAAGAACAAGAGTCCTCCGGTCCTGCCGTCCTGGTTCTGTCGGCATGTGCGGCCTAACTTCCTTCAGAAACCCTTTCCGGCTTACAAGTCTTCTTGTTGGTTCTGTAGACTTTGAGAGTTATCGAACCGAACCTGTAGTTTTTGACATGTGGTCATCATTCTTTTCCTCTAACTTGGCAATTGTCCAGTTTGATGTTGGCATGGTATTTGTTTCAATGCCTTCCGTAATTCGATGTCTCCCGGCTTTGGATTTGATCCCTTCCTAAAACTGCAAGCCTTTCTCCCGAACAGGTGCCATCCATCTTCTTGATCACCTTCGTATAAATGTCGAATGATCCTTCTTCGGCACATGTGACTAAATTGACGTATCCCTGTTGCCAACCGTGGTCTCTACATAAGGAGCACGGACCAGGCTTTTCCAGCATGTATAGACAAAATTTTACCATGAGTTGGCTCTCGACTTTCCTCCAATTTTCAGCCGAGATCCTGGCATCATCTTGAGCCTGATCTACCACAGCCATGATTAACTGGTTCTTCAGGGTCTCGTTAAACGGCTTAGGGGTCGTTGTTAGAGCACCCGTACTCTGCGGCTTGCTGGGCTTCCTCTTAGCCTCTCGAGCCGTATCCTATGCAGAGCTCCAAGTAATCATGTTCGAACATGATTAATCATAAACTTATTTGAATTTATATGAAGCAAAATATCATAATCATACAATCATAAATAATCATGTTTGGTCAGAGCAGACTGAAATGATTGAATAATATTATGTATAGTCATTAAAAATCTTTGATCACATTTGGTTCGTAATAATTCCATACATTTCAATGTATGTATATCTACATATATATATATATATATACATATGTATGTCTATCTGTATATACAGGGTGATTCAGAAAGGTATACAACAACACGTACCAGTGGTTAGAGGGTCGAAAATGGGTAAAACTTTTGTTCCGGAGTAGGTGCGAAATCTCAAGGGTTTCCAAGTTCCAAGAATTTCAAGGAATTTTACAATTAAAACAATGAATACCGGACTCATTTGTTTTAATTGTAAAATTAGACTATGAAGAAGCTGAGCCATTGTTGAGAAAAAATGATATCCATCTAAGATCCGACATACTTAAATGAGTCTAAGTAATCGGGAGAGGGGCTCACAGTCAAGCTGGTTAAAGGCACGAGTCGAGAACACCTCAATCCCACCCACTTAAAGACAAGTTCAGAGAATCCTTGACCCTACGCGGCTTCTACACCACGACAAGGTAGATGCCAGAAATAAGCAGACAATAGCTTTTTAAAAAATAAGTACACGAATATACATATATATACATACAAAAATATATATACATGTTAATACCATTTCGTAAGTGGCAGCGAGCTTATTGGACAAGACTTTTAAGTCTTTTTTAATATGTTAGGAAACATTCAGACATTATCAGATTAAAAATGTTTAGAAAAAGCTAAGCTGCTTAGTTTTCTGTAACATACCACTTCATAAATTCCAAATGGTAGGTGTAATCAAATCTTTCATTACTACTTATAGAAAACCATTTCTCTAATTATTTTGTGGACTATAGAAAATGGAGACTTATTTTCAATTTAAAAACAGCCTAAAATTACTTTCGAAAAACTAATATTTTACCAATCATCGGAAATATTGTATCAAAATTTTGTTCAGGTTTACAAGGCGTATTTGCGTAAAACATCATTTAATCCTCTCGTAATTACACACTCGTACACAACTCTTTTCAATGAGTTTGTCCTTAATTTTATTAAAAAGTTTTTTAATATTTATTTTATGTGCACAATATTCTTAGCGAAACTTCATTTGAAACATAAAGAATAAGTTTTCTTAACTTATATTTTCTTCTTTCTTATTGTTTAGAGAAAATATACAATTTGCAATTTAAACAAATTGTGCCAAAAAAAAAGATTTGAATTTAAATTTTATTTGCAGAATAAAAATAATTTCCTAAAAGATCAATTAAGTTTTTTTGAAAGGAACTTAAAAGAAAAACAATTACAATTATTGATAATGAAAAAAAAAATTATTTTTTTTTTCGCACATTTCTAACAAAACAGACTAAAGAAAATTAATTTTGGATGAAAATTTTTTTGGCGAAAACTTTGTTTTATTCTTAAAAAGTTAAATTAAGTATTTGTTAAATAAAATTTTTCCACTTTCTATACTGCACGTAATTATTTTTGATGAAATTTATTTAACGAATTCCATTGAAACCATTTTAAAATTTTAATATTTA